GGGCGGCCCCCGCCGCGCCCGCAGCGGGGAAGCAGGCGGGGTCGGCGTCCGCCGGAATGGGGGTGCACACCAAGCGCGGCTGTGTGCCGCCGTGCAAGTCGTTCAGGTCCCAAGTGGAAGACGCGGGCAGCAGGAGCAGAGAGAGGAGGATGACCAACGGAGGCGCGATCTTCCTTTTTCTCTCCATCCTTCTGAGGACTCGGCATCAAAGTCGAAAGGCCATCGTTCGGGCGGCCGATTGATTCTTGGTTCCTTCACCGATTTCTGGGATGGAACTGCAAAACAAGAGCCACAAGGCTGATGCGCTTTCCACCCCTCTCTCGGTGTTCACCTTTCTTTGCCGGCGACGTATTGTGACAGGCAGAACAATGTAAGATGAGGACGATGGCACGAATTTTTTTTTAAGGTTTTAAAGCCTCTCTTGTTTTCTTTAATGGTTCCAGTGCTCCACTCTTCTCTTCGGTATGTCCAACTTCCAAGATATTTCTTTTCATTTCTCCTAGACTTCAAAACGCTCTTCCACCCGATCAGTCGTTCCCAAGCATTTGACATCATTTACCCCCTCCAAAAAGCCACGGTCACCATTAAAATACAGTAGTGTAGTAGACCTTGATGTTCATCGGAAAAAAAAAAAATAGACAGGTTTTATTCCTAACATGTATGTTTACCATTATTGTAAGCCACTTAAAAGTTCTGCCAAATGAAGTACACTCACTCAGGCAGTGGTTCTTGCCCGGCCCACTTGAGGAAGCCCCGGCGCCACCACTCTTCGTACCAGTAGCGCACGGTGAGAATCACCGCACTCGGTTACAGACGGCCTTGCGTATTCACGTTTTGTGCTGCGGGATTTTTCTGACTTAAAATATGTGTCTTGACGAAATCTACTCGGCTGGGAAACACCGCCTGACTTGCTCGACGACGTCCTTCTCTCGGGGCTTTGCGCCGTCGGCTCCGTCCGAGGCGTGGTCCGAGGGCGCGCTCGCTCGGTCGTCATGAGACGAGCCGGCGAAGCCCTCGCACAGGGCAAGCTTGGCGGTCAGCTCTCGGATGGTCTCCCTCTGGTCCAGGATGGTCTCTCTGTGGCGCAGCAGACTCTCGCGCAGGTGCAGCGTGGCGGCCTTGGCCTCGTCGCTCGCCCCCCACCAGCCGGCCGGAGGCGCGCTCGATTGGCGGGCGGCCCCCGCCGCGCGCACACCAAGCGCGGCTGTGTGCCGCCGTGCAAGTCGTTCAGGTCCCAAGTGGAAGACGCGGGCAGCAGGAGCAGAGAGAGGAGGATGACCAACGGAGGCGCGATCTTCCTTTTTCTCTCCATCCTTCTGAGGACTCGGCATCAAAGTCGAAAGGCCATCGTTCGGGCGGCCGATTGATTCTTGGTTCCTTCACCGATTTCTGGGATGGAACTGCAAAACAAGAGCCACAAGGCTGATGCGCTTTCCACCCCTCTCTCGGTGTTCACCTTTCTTTGCCGGCGACGTATTGTGACAGGCAGAACAATGTAAGATGAGGACGATGGCACGAATTTTTTTTTAAGGTTTTAAAGCCTCTCTTGTTTTCTTTAATGGTTCCAGTGCTCCACTCTTCTCTTCGGTATGTCCAACTTCCAAGATATTTCTTTTCATTTCTCCTAGACTTCAAAACGCTCTTCCACCCGATCAGTCGTTCCCAAGCATTTGACATCATTTACCCCCTCCAAAAAGCCACGGTCACCAGTAAAACACAGTAGTGTAGTAGACCTTGATGTTCATCGGAAAAAAAAAAACTAGACAGGTTTTATTCCTAACATGTATGTTTACCATTATTGTAAGCCACTTAAAAGTTCTGCCAAATGAAGTACACTCACTCAGGCAGTGGTTCTTGCCCGGCCCACTTGAGGAAGCCCCGGCGCCACCACTCTTCGTACCAGTAGCGCACGGTGAGAATCACCGCACTCGGTTACAGACGGCCTTGCGTATTCACGTTTTGTGCTGCGGGATTTTTCTGACTTAAAATATGTGTCTTGACGAAATCTACTCGGCTGGGAAACACCGCCTGAAAAGGGCGACCGATGGGTTCAAGCTCCATCTTGTAAAATGGAATCCCCATGTGGCCATTTTGTCTTGACGGTGACATGAAACGTCCCGCATGATAGAAGTTGAGGCCTCCACACGGGTGGACTCCGACGTCGGACGGCAAGCGGCAAAGGACGTTGGGACCGCGGCTCTGGTTGCTCTTTTTTGAGTGCCGAGGCTTAAAGCCCAGACAGATGGTCTCCAAGTCGGGAAGCGTGTCAATACCAATCTCGCCCGTTGATCCTCCTGCCACTTGATCAGTTTATCAGCAGCGGCAACCGGCTCAATTAACCTAATTAGGAGCAGTTGTTGCGCTCCCAGATCGCCGGGCTTCTTCGGCCTCCTCCTCCTCCTCGGTCTACTTTACGCGTGTTTGCGGTAATCCGCGGCGAGGTCGCCGTGCCAGATGGTGGCTATTTAAGTCGCGCCATCGGTTGTAAACGGAAAACCCGACAAGTGCGCCTTAAAAGCTCCGACGGGAGCAAGTCACCAGGCGTGGAAATAAGCGGCGAGCGCTTCAAGGTCACCGTTTTGGCACGCGGTCGTCGTTTCTTGGAAGCTTTCACAAGCCCGCAGGCCCCTTTTTCAGAATTTGTGCTGAACGCGGTGTGACAAAATAGGAACAATTTCTCTCCTGATGAAAGTTTGCTTTTTTTTTACTGATCCTAAACTCAACTCTTCACTCATGTATGCAAAACACTTCATGTCATCTTTTTCTTCTACTTTTGTCCCTTTTTTTGTCTCATTTTTGGGGCGTAATATTCAGACTCCAATGTGCCTTTCGTAACATTCGACCTTCTAAAATGACTCCAGATTTTTGTCACAATTGATGATGCCACGATTTCATTCATAAAATTCAGAATAGATTTTCCTGAAGAGTTTTTCATGTCATTTTACACCTTAGCGAAATTCATAAATTGCAACTTGATTCTTTTCCAAACAATTTTTTCATAAAATGATCCCTTCCCTCCTGTTAAATTGAGACCTCATTCTGGGTGATATCATCACTTCTTTTCAGTTACTCCTGTAAGAAATAGTTTCTTCTCACGATATGGTGATTTTTTTTTTTTGGTATATATTATTTAAATTGGTTGCTTTTCCCGCTTCTATGGCTTTTTTTTTTTTCAAACCAAAAAAGTAATTTTTTGGGGGGGTAATATTACTACTTTATTTTCATTTAGATTATTATATATTACATTTTGTTATTGTTAAAAAAAATGTCATCATTTGGAATATTTTGCATGACTTTTTCTTGTATGATTGCAACTTCCCGCTGGCAACACTCGTAAACGTTAATCTCGCAATATTATCACGTGAACCGCCAAATGTACGACTTTCCTCGTGTTTATGTCGTCCGTCTCCAACGGTGAGCATGTTCAAAGCGTAGCTTGGCCTGATTTGGAGACGGGCGGCCAAAATGCATGCCACTCCCTTCCCATATTCCTCACATTTTGTCTCGAGAAAATCAGAAGAGTTCTTACCTGCCGTTTTGGTCGCTCGAGCATCCGCGCGCACACTGATCAGATTTTGCCAGGGGTTTCCTCGTTGGGAGCCTTCCCCATCGTCTGCCTCTTCCCTCCTCCTCTCTCTCTTGCTTGGCAGACTCCGCCTCCAAGGGGACCGAGCGCTTAACCTTCCGAGACCGCGCCCGACGCCGTCGTCTCGGCAACCACCGGACATGCCGGCACGCGAGCCGCTGACCTGATTGGCACCCCGCTCGACTGGCAGCCAACGAGGTGGCGGGAGGACACGTCGCCGCTTTAAGGGTGAAAGGTCAAATCAACGTCTCACACACACTGATTGAAACACGGCAGCCCGCCTGTTCATCTGTACAAGTGAGAGAACGCCCCCCCCCCACACACACACACACACACACAATTCTCCACACTCGTTTCCTTCAATTCCACCCAACTTGAATCTGCAAACTTGTGTGCTTCATTTACGTACTTGGAACCAGGCTGGGAGAATTCTGAGTATGCCAACAATTGAGGAAAAAAAATATTAGGATTACAGTTGTCCCTCGCTATTTCGCGGTTTGTTTATCGCGGCTTCAGTGCATCGCGGATTTTTCAAACATATTCATAATTTTTTTTTTTTAAGTCCACAAAAAGTCCGCGAGAAGCAGCGAAAGTCAGCAAAACAACAGCGAGTCACATAGAGCAACATATACTACATGAATATGTTTACTGTATTTTGTTATGAGCGGCTGCTAAAACTTATACATGTTTAAATATATTCGTATACAGCATTAAGTCATGTTAATTACTTCAAAATTTACTTCTACATGCATGTATACCATTAAATTTGGCCTTATAAATATTATGTACATGTACCTATATGGGGGGGTTGCTATTTCGCGGATTTTCGTTTATCGCAGGTGGTTTTGGTCCCCATTAACCGCGATAAACGAGGGATTACTGTGTTGTTAATTTCTTATGTCGTGTGTCCTGAGCAGTGCTTTTTTTATTTATTTATTTATTTTTTTTTTTACAGCTGCAGCTTTTGTTAAAGTGCGATATCAATAAAGTTGAGATGAGTTTTGTTGAGTTGGTCACGAAAGCGTCCATCAAACAAGTAGCAATCATTGAAGATCTGCTTCCCTCTAGTGGCCAAAAGCCGTTTAGCGTTTTCGATGCACTCGAGGAGCGGCGTGTGAGGCAGCCATGAGCCTGGAGTTGATGTTTGCAATTGTGGTTTCATTTAGCAGAACAATGAAATGCTCATCCATGAAATCGCAGGAACTCCTGTCAACCTGTGCAGCCGCTTGTTGCCATTCGTACAACAGAAAATGAGCTTGGTGTTATGCTTTGATACTTTATCTTGCGTGTGACGTGTTGGGTTCATCAACGCGGGGTTTCCTTTCATTCTAGTCCTTCATTTTGTGTCCCTCAAACAGGATCAACAAAAAATTCCCCAAAGAGTTTGACAAAGAAAGGCAAGATGAATCAAGTGTCCAGTGAGTCGTTCTTCCGCACAAAAAGTGAGAGCGGAAGTGGGACCCTCCTCAGCTCCGGACGTGGCAACCTCACGAAGAAGAGTCGAGGGCAGCTGACGAGCCTGCAGCGCGTTTGCATGCGCTGAGGCCCCGTCCGGCCCGCCGTGTCCTTCGTGGAGCAGGAATGCGCGCTACTCTTGATCTATGTAGGCCAGGCCTGTGCCTGGACCCCCGACCCCCCCCCTTTTTTTTAGGGGGGGTTTAAAAAGGTTCAAGTCATTATTCTCCTGCTGCTATTCAGACCAGGTCCCGTCAGCTCATTGTTATTCAGGCCCAGTGAGGGAAAGCAAGCGAGTGAGCGGCAGGCCACTGCTTTGGAGGCCGATCGCGCTCCGCCGGGAAGCTGCATGGGCGGACCTGCTGTGGAGGGGAGGGCTGGAGAAAGTGCTCCTGGACACTTTTTCACTTTTTTTTTTTTCTTTATGCATCCGTGAAGGCATGTTGCTAATCGGCTCAGTAATGAGGAGAGGTACTGAACGGCACCAAATATCTGACCTCCATTCTTGTGTGCAGGCGAGAGAGAGAGAGAGAGAGAGAGAGAGCGCGCGCGCATGTGAAAAAGGGGTGGAGGGGAGTTGAGATTTAGTGGCCTGCCTGGTGAAACAATCCCCCCACTCACTGAAGCCACCCGACGCAAGAAGAGAGAGGACAGCTCATCAGGAACTCTCGCTCGCTCGCCTCTTCCGACTATGAGATGAGAACAAGGTAACTACTTTTTTGATAGACTGTATGTACCCACCCCCCACCCCCACCATGAGTGGTGTTCCGCTTGCTGCACACTTCAACAGGCTGCAAAAGGCCAGGCTCACATCCACCACCTACAACAATGACGAGACCATTTTGTGTGTGTCGCAAGGGGTCTTGAAGTGAGTTGGGCTCGGCAACTGATCCGTTTTGTCGCCACTTTGCTCGATTGTGCGGGCGGTGGGAAATTATTTGGTCACAGTTGAGCTGTGCTTCTTGTTCTTTCCAGCACCGTTGCTAGTCTTAACCCTTGACCGTATAGGAAATACTTTCAACTCCAGTCATGTCCCCAGTATCGTGTTTCTCAAACTTTTTCTATTACATGAGGTATCAAATTTTTTTTTTGGGGGGGGGAAACAAAACTTTTCTCTTGAAAGGGTTTCATTGCTGAAATGTACATTTAACGTCACTGTAACATGTATTTGTGTATATGTCTAGATATATTTAGACACACACACACACACACACACCCATATATATGTGGACTTTTTTGTGACTAAATTTTCCCCATTTGCCTTAATTGCTAATTTGCTGGGAGAAATCGTGGGGGGGGGCAGATAGTTGGAAGGATGGATGGCGAGAGCGAACGCGTTTAAATGCATCAATTAGTGCCCCCCCCACACCTTCCCAGGCTCTAAAGCACATGAATGCATCTTCTGTCAGCTCCCAACCACCTGCAGACTTTCCCCTCTTTCATGCTAAAAACACTGCAACTCCCCCAGAAGAAAATCTCTCCACTTTAAAAGAATTCACAATCTTCTGCTTTTTGTTGTCGCAGCCCTTCTGACACACACACACACACACACACAGAAGACCCGGGTGGCCCTAATGAGCAATAGTCTGGAATTGTTTTTCTTTGTGCCACGTCGCATGAGCTGATCTGGGTCAACGTCTTGCCTGTAATCTCACTCACATAATAAACGCCGTGGCTGCGCACTTTGATTTATTTTTTTTTTTGCCACCGCGCAAAACCAACCTGGACATCCTCTTCCCATTGTGTGGCTCCGTTTTGACACCTGTGACTGGCCGCCCCCCCCGCCACCTCATTCTGCTTATCTTGCGGAATATTTGGCTTGGCCCGATAGCGCTGATATTGGCCCCAACATGTCTATCCGGGTGAAAATATCTGCTTTTAGTCAAGGGCATGCGCTCCTATCTTGACGTGAGGTTGCAGTGACCTCCAAACACCCTCCGGCGCCTTTTTCTTTTTTAAATCACATACTTGCACTAATTAGCTGCAATAATCTCACACCTTTGAAAAAATATAAAGACTCCCTTTCCTAAATCAATGTATCTCTCTTCTCCTGTAAATCAGAGCGTCCTGACCAAGGAAGAGCGAGACCCGTCAGGAACAACACACTTGGAAGAGAGAAGCCGCAGAAGCACAAAATGTCACGAACGGACGAGGTCAACAAGATGACGGAAAATGTTTATAAGGTATGCTCCATTTCACAATTGCCAAATGGTCGCAGCTGACAAGTTTGATGTTTGCCAACAGGGTATCCTGGACCACTTCAACCCCAGCTTGAAGAATTTTGTCACCATGGGAAAACACTACGAGAAAGCCCTCACAGGTTTGGCCCCCGCCCCCACCAAAAAATGTCTACATTATGATGAAGTCCGTTGTGGGGGGTGGGGGGGAGCACTTGAACTACGTATCTAAGAACCATCCATACTCACCCGATATAGATGAAAATCCACATTCTAATAAAAACTTTTTAAAAATAGTTTTACTCATATCATAGAAGTCCAATCCCACCAATTAAAAAAAATGTCCGTTAAAACCAAACTGTCACACCACCTCCGTGCACAAGCACATCCAGAGGCACGCCACATTTGAAATGGTCACATCAAGTCCATGTCAGACTAAAAAAATATATATATATATATATATATAATTTTAGTGTCTGCATACTTGCATTTGATATCTAGCAGTGTGTATTGTCCCAAATTACGTGTCACACTTTCAACTTTCATTCTACTACTGCTGGCTGTCGGGGAAATGAAATGTGGAGGAGTGAAAAGCATCTGTTAGCAAATCAAAGTTCAAGGCTTCTCAAGATTTGTCTCTCCAAAGAGGAATTTTGTCTGGGAGTCGGAGACAGCTGCATCAACAAATGCAAGGCATCGTAAATCACACGTGACTGAAAAACGCCATGTCGACATTCTATTCATAGCTTTCCATCTTGGTTTTCCCCGGTGATTGAAACATACCTCCTCATCAATGAATTAAGCAGTCAAAGGTCCTATTTGGTCTTCGTCTCAAGACATTTTGGACAACCGTATCCTTCCAAATTTGTGGGAGGCCCTTTTCTCTGATTCCCCGGGTACAAAGCAAGGTCCATCAAGACACGCTTGGGTGACTTTAGCACATGGAGGAACCTCAGAGCGAAAGCTGTCGGAGCATTTCAACTCTTCATCTTCCAGTAGGGCGTCCGTCCCAATGCCTACCGTGAGGAAATCTGACAAATACTTTCTTATGGTACTTAAGAAGGCATTTTTTTGTTACGTTCTTGGAATTTTTCAGACAACTTTTCACTTTCAGTCCCTAGATTGGAAAACCAGATACTTTTCTGCGAGTCGCTTTTTCTTGTCACTCAGTAGCACGCATACCTTCAACAGGGAAAATCTGGTCATAAAAGTGAAAGAAAAAAAGTATGACAGAATCTTTGTTGTTTGTTCAAACTCAAAATGCCGTGTTCCTAACTTGGGTCCCGTTTCCTATCCATTTTGAAAATCCACCCTAATGCCCAGTTTAATTCCTTGGCATTCAACACAGCACGAGGCTTGAGCCCCGATCTTTTTATTGTATTTAACTATGTAACTCTTTCAAAATTATGTTCAACCATCTTTGGTTTTATGTGCAATTTTTATTTATGCACAGCAATTTTAAAGTGCTCTAAAAAAATGAAATGAAGTTGAGTTTGTCCACATATTTATGAGTTAGTTTTTCCTGTTTACGGAGCATTTTGAACATACTCAAAGTGACGTCTTGACTCTTATGCTGATCCTGTAATAAGTACAATGGTTTAAAGAAAAAAAAGAATTGTAGATACTTGCCGTGCGTTCATCCAGATTGACAGCATTTTCGTCCACATCTCATTCCCTACCCCTCAACAATGTTTTGTCAAAATTGATTTGTGATGTGTTTGTGTAATCTTGCTAAGTGTATCCGGTTCATATGTCAAAATCAAATGTCATCGGAAAAGCCACCGTATAACCAGAACAAAGCTAGTAGTGGCCTAAAACTTTTACTTGGTACTGCATGAACATTTCCCAACATGTTCTGTCTTCCTTAGGAGTGACAGTGGCAGCGAAGGGCTACTTTGACGCTCTGGTCAAGCTGGGAGAGCTGGCCAGCGACAGCCAAGGTTCCAAGGAGCTGGGTGAGTGCATGCGCAAGGTGCAGGTTGAAGGGAAGAAAAATAAAAACCAGCCGCTCATAGACTCCAACCGGCTGAGAGGATTCGGGGCGTGGGGAAATGGTCTGTGGGACTCGGGAGCTTTGTGTTTGTCCAGGGAGGAGATGAAGACACAAGAGGAAATGTAGAGAGCGAGGAAACACAGGGAAAGGGAGAGAGTGGACTCATTGTTGGGAGATTAACAACACCACATGATCTCATTGTGATGCCGAAAAGAGCGGGGGAGGCGGGCAGGGGTGTCAAGAGGGCAAGATGCCAGCCGCTGCATACTACTGCGCTGTGTGGCCCATCCAGAGAGGATGCTTGCTCCATGTTTGTCAACCGGGGCCTGTGTGCAAGCTACTAAAACATCTTTCGCAATATATTTAGACCACCTTGTGATTTATTACACAATTGAACGCAGTACAAATATACCAGTAATAGAAATTGGTCTGAGCTTTAACAGAGCCCTACCCCGCTATATTTGATCTAGGGCGACAAAAATTGGGAGAGATGTGCATGTCCAGGAGCCCTGAGGCATAAGGGCTCATGGTTTTGTGTGTATTTACCTCATACTGTATGTTCAGTTGTTATGATGCCCAAATGTTTCCATGCTTATGTGACGGGCCACTATTGGAGTGTGGCAGTTTCTAGGTCCACATCGCTGTCGCTTCAAAACATCACTGACGCTCAGGTGGATTACTGAAATGAATGATGATTATTACAGGGCTGCACCACAGTATGGCAGGAGCATCCAGTCCAGGACAACTATCAATGCGCATTCCTCGTTACACTGACGACGAACAAAATATTGAATTATATTGTTTCTACTATTACAAGAAAACTAAATCTACGTGTGTGATCGTATAGTAATTTTAACCAAAGCGTTACGGTAGAAATGATAAGAATCCCAGTCGTCTATTTTTGCAACGACACACAGTAAAAGAGGACAAGAACACTTTTAGTCTCGTTTACGAAGTGTCATTGAACACACCAGACGCGGACCGCGTAACACATAAGTAAGTGAATGGCGGCCGCGGTGAACTGCGGGTTCGCGCTACTAATACAGTCGAATAAATGAAAAATAACGCCATGAACAACTCGTTACAGCAAAATTGAGAAGAAATAAACATGACCTGCAACATGGTGAAAGCGCATTGAGGCCCGGACAAATATCTGCTCAACAAACGAGCATTTGCCAATCAACTCAACACGGACCAATTTTCATTCGTCGTAGCTCTGGCCAACGCAACGGCGGGAAGCAGGCGCCGCCCCATGTGCTGTTGCGTCACTTCCGCCATCATTTAAACAATGTTTATGTGTCACTCGTTTCACTTACCGTATAATCATAATCACACTAATTGAAGAAAAGCCTGTCTGCAACTACAATTTGAGATGATTTCCATCTTGTGTAGCTTTCTTAATATTCTTTTAAACCTATAGAGCTGTTAAACTGCTTTTCATTGTTTTGTCCCAATCTCAATAGATTATTTTATCCCGTACTATTCTGCTCTGTTCTATTCTCTTGCCGGTGACCCCGTTGCGCAGGAGACACATTATTTCAAATGGCCGAGGTCCACAGACAGATCCAGGTGCAGCTGGAAGACGTGGTAAGGAGGGAGGGAGAACGCCACAGAACGCGCGCAGACATCAAGTTGTGAGACACGAATGAACATTTGTGCGCGTGCATTTTGGCCATTCTTCAACAGCTCAAATTGTTTCATTCCGAGCTGCTGGCCCAGCTGGAGCAGAAGCTGGAACTGGACATAAAATACCTCACAGTAAGTCCATGCGAGGATGGGAGGTCCTCCCGCAGATGACACGCGGTTCCAATCAGGTTCACGGGATGCCCCGTCTAGAAATCCGTAGATTTTCATTTGTGACCATAGCTTCATCCATTGCAGTTTTACCTCGCTACTTCGACACCTTTTCGTGTGATTTTTCTTCCTTCTGAGTCGACCCGGTCCAAAAAATGTGTTGGGGAAATTTGGTTGACAAAAAAACGAGACCATGAAAATTAGACAGCTCCTTGCCTATAATCAGCAGCTTGGTATTTCGTCTTTATTTTTCCATTTTAAAAGTTACGTTTATTAAGTGAAACACCGGCGACAAGCAATGGAACATTAGAGTTAGTTTTTATTTCATTTTGACTTTTGTATTTCAAAATCAGTCCATTTTAATTCTTTTTTAGAGCAAATCTGCCAATTTTCATTCGTTTTTATTTTGTTAAAAATTTGGGAGAAATTTACGAAATTTCACTGACAAAAATGTTTCGGCAACTTTGAATTCAACACACCTGCTTCCCATTGACACCCTCGACCTTGCAACATGAATAATTCGCATGACAGAAGGGATACAAAATTTCTCATTGGGCCTAGTTTGGACATTTTCACTCAGGGGTGTACTCACTTTTGTTGCCAACGTTTAGACATATAGTTGAGGGGACAGTCAAGATACACTCTTATCCAAACTCCACACTGACTGCTTTACATTGCAGCAAAGTATCATTTCATCACTATTCTCCCAAGAAAAAAAGAAAACATTTATTAAAAGGTAAAATTGTCCTTCTTTAGGCCACACTAAAGAAGTACCAGAACGAGCGGCGGTCCAAGACAGATTCCATCGAGCGCTGCCAGGCGCAGCTGAAGAAGCTGCGCAGGAAGAGCTTGGGCAGCCGTCACCCGAACAAGTACGGAGATCGAGAGATGCAGGCGAGTATACGCTCAGCTCCTACAAAACTTGCTTGTTTTTTAGAAATCAACAGGTCGCTCTAAATGAGCTTACACGGCAATCTGCATCACCTGATTTTTTTTTCCCCCCCTCCAGCGGGCGAGTTTCACAATGAGAAGATTTGAGAGGGTTTTATTTGCCTAATATGGAAGTCAAGGAGCAAGTGTTGTTTTCTAGGAAAGGTCAACACAGCCACGAGCGCTGTTTTGGATTCATTTGTGATGCAGGAAGTGATGTCACGTGTGCTATTCCTGGTTGGCAACAATGTGTACTCGAAAGGTCACTCCCGGCCGGCTCCATGTATGGCTACAAATGATATGCGTCCGATTGTGTTCTCAGTTTGTGGAGCTGATGAGTCGGCGCCAAGTGGAGCTGGACACGCTGGTCGCGACGGGTTATAGGTCGGCGCTGACTGAGGAAAGGAGGCGATACTGCTTCCTGGTGGATCGGCAGTGTTGCGTGACCAAGCTGCTCATCAACTACCACTGCAAGGTGACGGCGTTAACTTCCCCTCAGTCAGCCGCAGCGGTCCGGCTGCAATCCAGTCAACGCTTGATCAAAACATGCAGTCATGACATCACGAAAGAAAATGTGAAGGCTTGAACAGTTTTTGCCACCATTTTTGTTTTTCGATTCAATGGACACTGTGCTGCTCCTTCAAAAAAATTGGGCAATTGTTGTCCATTTTTCTTTCTTTTGTAACGTTAAACAAATAACAGTAGGGGGACCCCAAAATAACCAATTAATCAGCTGATTATTGGAATTTTAATTTTGGAATCTGCGTTAACCTCAGAAATGATATTTTCTTGCTTGTTCAAATTCGCCGACAATATGTTTCAAAGGTTTATTAAGTTGAAACATGTTTAAAGCGTTGGGGAGATGTAAGCCTTGGCGTTCAACAAATCTTGAGCCCTTATTTTAGTGTTACTTTTTTTTTTTTTTTGCATTTAACAATGTTGCTGTTTTATTGTTTTAAAATCATGTTCAATGATTTTGGGTTTGGTGTGCGATTTTTATTCACTTTTTTTTTTCACAGCACTTTGAAAGTGCCCCATAAATGAAATGATATTGTTTACCTTTCTCGCAGATTTCCGCCTAGTGCGGGTGTTTCAAAATAAGTCATTCATTTGGATGTCTTTTTTTTTTTTTTTTTTTTTTTTAATTCGGCACAGGTGAAGGAGCTCCTGTCACAAAAACTGTCGTCGTGGCAGCAGTCGTGCACTCAGCCGACCAAACTACCAGAGCGCGCTCTCAACTTGCTGCGTCACACGGCGCCACAGAGCTCCGGGGCTGCTGGGATCGCCGAGGTCCTGCGATACACCAAGCTGGGCTGCTCTCAGCCGGAACAGGTCAGACCGCGATGGTGTTCCAGTGTTACATTTGGAAAGCATTTAGCCGCATCCCCGAGTTTATGCGGTTGTCCTCACGGCCCTCGGAGGGAAAACATAAACACCATGTGACCTGGACAAATTGTCCCAAAGTTTGAATGTAAAAATGGATAGAAGGATGTCACGTGTTGAAGCTGTGGCGGAGCTTTGTGGCTTTTTAGTAGCTTGTGTCTTGTTTTGTAGAGGCTGTCAGTTCAAGAGGTCCCACCTCTGTTGAATGGGGACCGCTCCCAGCAGCAGCAGCAGCAGCAGCAGCACTCGCTCCCCTCCTCGTCCTCCCAGAGCGACGCCTGCCCTCAGGGCTCTCCGCAGACCTTCCGGTCCGTGTCGGCCACTGGAACCTCGTCGAGAGGAGCGTCCCCTCAGCACAGCTGCTCCCCGCTCACCGTGTCGGCGACGAGTCCCCTGGCCGACAGCAGCACCAGCGGCAGCGCCAGCCCCGCCGCGTCCACCCCCACAGGAGGCGCGGCGCAGCCCGCCTCCTCTCTCCTCTTGGCCGCCAACACCAGCAACCTGTCGCCGAGCCTCATCCCCTCCACCGTCATGTCGCTCAGCCAGGTGCCCCCGAGCGAAAGCGCCTCGCAGGGCGTCACGCTCGCGATTCCGCACAGCGCCCCCCACAGCCCGACGCTGCCCCACAGCGCCCCTCTGTCCAGGGCTATGACTCCCGTGCAGCTGCTGCATCAACAGGTGGGCCCGGGAGGGAACAACACTCTACCTGTCGCTCATCCTTGGCTGAAGAAGACTGCTGAGATGTGCGCCACGTCCACTCTTCCGCTTCCCAAGCGGCCCGGCAGTGAGATGAGGCTGGGCGGCTTTCAAGGTGATGTGGGCCTCAAAGTTTTATCTGTACCAGCCATGTGTTGGATTCACCTGACTTCATCATGTCACAATTAGAGAAACCATCAATCGTGTAAACGAACGCATTCAAAACGGCATGCACACTTCTGAAATGGTTCGGAAGCGAGATGCATCTCGAACCGTCACTGAACTGAACCGTAACGTACTCACCAGAGATGCCGATTGTTCCATTGGATTGAGTGTGTGTGTTTTGCTAGCCAAAGTTAGCTGGAACAACTTTTGCTCTGACCAACCAATCGGAGGACGGAAAAAAATGCTGTCATGTTGAATTCTGATTGGGGATCAGGTGACAACTGATCAGGGCTCATGGGACATTCGCAAGCCAAATTAGTAAAGTATCCCGGTCGGTATGTTTAATTGACTTATTGTAAATGAATGAACACAAAAGTTTTGCCACTCTTGCTCCAGGTATATCCTGTCTGTCCATTTCTCCATATTCATCCTTGCCTTTTTCGCTCAGGCGCCAGGATGCTGCCTCTTTCGGGGCCCACGCGGGTGGAGGCCATGTTTGCTCACTCGCCCGGCGCGTCAGAAGGTGGGGGAGGAGGCGGCGGCGCTTCCTTGCTGCACTTCCTGCCGGGGGACAGCATCACCCTGCTGATTTCTGAGCCGAGAGACGGGTGGCACTACGGGCAGAATGATCGGACCGGGCGGTACGTTCCGAGGCTCAGATTACAGCTGGAAACACGTCGAGGCCACTTGGTCCCAAAAACCTTGAAGGAGTTCTTTTTTTTTTTTTCCACAGAATATTGTTACTCAAGTAATTATTTTGAAGACTCCTTTTTATGCGATTCATATTATGTTGGAATAACAGCAGTCTTACTTGAGGACACTTTTGGGCTACCCTACCCATCTCCCATTGAAATGGACTAACATTCAAACACACAAATATAAAATGAAAGCACTCACAAGGAGCTGCTTTAGGCCACAACTCACGTCCAGGCGCTCGCACTGAATTGACCAGGCTCCAGGCTCCTGACATCACTGACTAGGCCACGCCCCTTAAAGGCACGCATCAAACTCTGGGCTATTCATTTCTATTCTTTTATTTTGTTTAGTTGTACTGTATGCGTTTCTCATCTGAACCAGGTTGCCATTTAGTTTTTCTGATCCTTTCTGCTTTTGAAATGCTCCACTTGATTTGGCTGTCTTTGAGTGTTTAGAAAGACTCATTTAAATAAATCAATAAAAAAAGATGATTGTGATCAATCTTTTGTTTTTTTGTGATGTTTGACAGGAAAGGCTGGTTCCCTTTCTCCTACACTCAGCCACAACATGGCAGGACGGATCACCTTGAGAGGCGAGTCAGCCTTGACCACACACCCAAAAGGTACAACCCTATATGACTACTTATCCTGTCATTGTCAATCACTGGCCACGACATTAGGTACGCCTGGACATCAAGTGAGATTTCATCTGATGTCTGATTAGATTGTCACCTAACAGAAGTCCCGCAATGAACTGCAAGCATTGCATTGCAATGTGAATGCAAAACCTCTCAGGCAGTGTCAAATCTCAAGCGAATGTCTCATTGGATTGGGCAGGTGTACCAATGAAGTGTCTGGTGAGTGAATGTAGCAATTGCCTGATCATGTGTGCACCCCGCACCCCCCCCCCCGCTGCAGCTCCTTTTTCCTTTCCAAGGCCAACAGCACCAGCATGAGCCAGCTGGACCAGCTGGTGTCTCCCAATCTCAGCCCCGAGTCGGCGGAGGAGCGCTCCTTCCCTCCCCAGAGGATCAGCACCTTCCGGCCACGCCCGTACAGCATGGCCGACTCCAACAGGGTCAGAGGCCGATCAAGCAAAACGTAGATACGTAAAGAGACGGCGTGAGTAATGACCATGGTCTTTGTTTCGCAACTATGGCAGATCTGTGCACAGTTGGCCTCCTCACCACCGTCTCCAACGAGGTATTTGTTAACATGTGTCTTAAGTATTGAGCATCTCCAACTGATCCAGAATGTTAAGGGCAAGGGGATATGGTTTTAAAATAACATTTTCCATTTTTAAAAATGTTCACCCTTTTAGCTTCTCAAAAACAAATGAGAGCAACAGCTTACCAACAGAGAATCTCTTTGTATGTATTGTTTTTTTTTTGTTTTTTTGTTTTTTTGTAATTCAGGACCAACCCGTTTGCCCACATTCGTCTCCGAAGAACCGTCACCAACGATCGCTCGGCGCCAATCATCGAGTGAGCGCTCCACTTTTGGGGACAGAACAGATCATTGTTTCAAGAGTACTCCCCTCTCTGTTTTCATTTCATTTAATGTGATGCTAGTTAGGTATTTTTTTTTTTCCGAAAGGTGGATGTGCGGAGCTGATCTGTGATCCATCAAAATTGTTCAGTGAGACTAAAACGGGGCTGGGCCAATGCTTTCTGATCAGGGAAGTCCTGCGAGGGCTCTACTAAAGTCATGAAAAATAATACCAATATACTGTCAATGTTTTGAAGCCCACCAATGCTCCAGATAAACACCAATGCTCAAAATCAACATCATTTTAGTTTTATTTTTTTAATTTTTTTGGATCATCTGCTGTAATCGACATTTTTCGGCTTCTCTCTAGCAACTTTTTTGCCTATCGTTAGCCTTTTGTTTGCCTTCTTGCCTCACTCACAGAGGTGCTTGTAGCTGAGTGTGTTGCAGGATTGGCTTCTATTTTACAGTCGAGTCAAGCTTTATGCCTTGGGACCCGGTTCCTGTGGTAATTGGCTGACAAATTCAGATTGTGACCTTAGGTGGCATATAGTTTTAGAGTCGGGTGTTTTTGGCACTGCTTTAAAGATGTACAGGTAGTTATTGTGTAAATTAGGATTTCACAGTCGTGTGTGTGTGTGTGTGTGTGTGTGTGTGTGTGTGTGTGTGTGTGTGTGTGTGTGTGTGTGTGTGTGTGTGTGGCTATAACAGGCTGAGGCCAGTAATCGACAAACATGCTGCTGCTTTGATATTGCGTATCCCCAGTGTTGCTCTTCACCTTGTTTAGAGTAATGTTCTCAACATTTTTGGGGTCCGGGACCCCTGCTTATTTTTGCCCCCTCCCCCGCCCCGTGTCACGGTCTGCTTCGTCTGAAACAGGCAGCTTTTTTTTTTTTTTAATTTGTCGTCAGTCTCATGACCTGACTTTCAAATGCTAACCTGATCCTTGCAAGTTAGCAATTTTAGCTGTAGCTTCTTCCTGCTGATGTTTCATCATAAAAGATGAATTAAGTCATGATCCCACAGAAATGCTCGGGATTTTGTAATTTTGAAATGAATGCAGCTGATCTTAAATTTGCATTAACACTCTGCCATAGTAACTTGAGCAATGCAAATGTGAGCTAGAGGGCCCCCCCCCTCCCTGGGTAAAAAGCTCAAAAAACAACATTCTGTCATGTAGTTATATCCACTGTGAGGTAAACTTAAAATGTAGTTAATTCATGATGAAGTTGTCTCTCGGTAGAAGCCAGTTTTAAAAATGCACAAGAGCAGTGGGTCACCATAAGGGTTAACATCTGGACTGCAGGATGCTTTTATTTTAAGGGTTTTTTTTTCCTAAAGGAAGAAGAAAGTCGTTGAGGGTAAGTTTGAAGAAAAGTCAATATTTTAGTCTTTGGAGGTTTTTGATTCCTTTTCAGTCCCCCGATACAAAGCTAGTCATCATGAGGGTGGGATGCACCATCATTGTTTGCGTTTACCCAGGAGACTCAGCAGAATCTTGTGTTGGTCAAAGGTTTGCAGTATTGGAAAGTGCTGGAGAAGGTTTACAGGAAAGTTGTCGAAAGCCACGGAAGCGTTCATTGCTAAGCGAGAGATCAAATGCCTTTTCGTAGCTCTGTAGCCAGAAGAGAAAGATGGTGTTTGTAAAGCCAATGTTGGAACCGCTATGATGTGGTATTTGCAGTCCCTCGAGGGAGATGACATCATCAAGACTAACGGCCACCCCCATAATCAAGTCGAGATGCGCTTGCTTTGGCACAAATTCTGATCTAACGTGTATGTGATCTTTTCACTTTGGTATGCGGATATTTGTATCGATGTTGTGGAATCAGGTTGGCTTAAAATGATGAATGTGAAGTTGATATAACGATGTTGAAGTCAAGGTATTCAAACAACAAAATCAACAACATATCCCTAATTTTGTTGGGAAGAAAAAGCTCTATCGAATGCAGAGCACATGATGTAATCACACGATCAAGAGTAGACTATTGAATATTTCGAGGTGAGTACAAGTGAAGCGCCATGTCCACACTGTTGCTCGTTGCGGCCGGTTTGGACATTTTCTCTTCGCCCTGTACTCCACTTTTGTTGCCAACTGTTTGATTGCATTTGTGTGGAGGAACTCGAAATTTAGTTTGACAAGCTCTACACTGACTACATTGTAGAAAAGTGTCACATCTTCAGTGTTGTCCCACGAAAACGAAAATGTGAGGGATATTCTCACTTAGGTGAGATTTTGTAAAAGTCTTCTTCCAATTTGAAATGCTAACAAACACGATGCAAATGTTTCGACATTAGCCATGTGAAATTGTATACAAAAAAAGTAAGAGTCTAGGTGGCTGCAGTTTCCTAACATGAGTAATAATGAATACTGACATTGAGCAAAATAAAGAAAAATCTGTGGCAGACATGTTCCTGTTTTTTCGTTTTTCTTTTCTATTGTGTTCATTCAAGTTGGAGCCTTCTGGTGAAATAACAATCGCTGACTAAGTAGTTTAAACAAAGACGTCTGTTCTCACAGTTCATCCTATTTTATTCTTTGTGCGGGTCAAATCATGATTGCGTGCAATAATTAACTCAATTCAAATTTTAATCCGCTTGAAGCTTGGTCAAAGCGCTCGGGAGGGATCAGGCTGATGTTGAATCTGCCACAACCTACTCAAAGTAGAAAAAAGAATTCAAACAAAAGCTAAACCCATTGTTGCTTGATCCTGTTTTTCCGCCAGTCAAATCACGAGCAACGAGGCAAATACGGTGAACTAAATAGACAATTTTTATTGTGGGCCATTGACAAAGAGCAAAACAAAGTGATCAAGAATGTGAAGTTAAAGGTCTTTCAGCCATTGCAGTCTGTCTCCCCTTTGCTCACACGGGTGCACGGGAATGTCGGGCAAGTTTCCGTCATCTCGCACAGGAACTGCGATGGGGGACGAGGAAGATGTTAGGCACAGCAAAAGACCGTGAGAGTTAAACCGTGTGTCTTAATTTGTTTCATTGTATTTAAAGTGTGTTTATTTTTTTATTTGGGGCGGGGGGTTAGGGTTAGGTCCGAATGCATCCACAGCAGTACAGGGGTTTACCATACTACCGGAGACAATTTCCTTGTGCGTTCTACATACTTGGCCAATAAAGATGATTCTGATAATACAATGAAAGCTATGTAAACCAATGAACTGGTTGGCAGTTGTCACAGACTGTAGTGACAGAATTTACCTGGGTAGGTGTATGGCACCGCAGAATTGATCATTCCTGAATACTTTGTGTATGGACTTATTACCGGGAGCACAAGACCTAACGAAAGAAGTCAAAATTAGTCCTTTATTTGACAAATATGGCCGATGTGAAGACTGTCTCGTTGTGGACTCACCCATTAGTCCTATCGCACAAGAGGCGAAGATGACAGGCTCTTTATTCCACGCATTCTTTAAAAAGGCTGCAACCCCTGTAGAGAGACACAGACGGTGATCATTATATTTTCAAACGGCGTACATTTTACGACAGATAATACACAGTTTATCCACGAAAAGCTAACGCTAACTATATTAGCCAGCGTTAGCAAAACACCCAAGGTCACGCGTTTTTAATCAATAATAAATCATTTGCTACAGCAATTAGTCTTCCTGCTTCGTTTAAAATACAAATTACTGCATTATACATGACTGACGTAAGGAATAATTGATGTTTATTTCAAACAATTGCCATGTCCAAATAAACAGAACACACACGCACCCGCCATCTTGGTTTGTGACGTACAAACTGATGGTGGCTCATGGGAAATGTAGTTGTGTCGTATCATGACGTATAAATCGTGTGCCTGCTGTATGTAAACACAAGCGAGTCGATGCGAAATGAGGAGTCACATTACATGCTAATTTCTTCACCATAATCTGTTACTAAAGTATCCACTAGGCCTCTTGATAAATAACTAGGTGTTTTGAATGTGCTGTTAACCATGATTGTTTCTTAACTTTGAAGAGACACAAGTACTGTACTCCAGTCGTGAACTCAACTGGGCATCGACTTCTAAGAACGGTAAGTACTGTACTGCCAAGGATAGGATTGTACATATTCTTCTTACAGTTAGGTGATTCATCTCTAACTGTTATCCACACCACTCAACGACCACTAAACACAGTGAGACGATATTGTACTGGACACCATCAAAATGCGCTACATCAACTTAATTATAGAACTGCGCTTAATGATCCGTGAGAGTCATTACAGTACAACAAATATTAAGATTCTTGTTTTTTCTCTTTGACGATTATTAGGTGTTTTTTTTCCATTGCAGTTTCGGGTGCCCCATTTACTACCCACTTTCCCAGATAATGGAAGACTTCTCTGGTTTGGCCCTCCCTCCTCTATTTGGGGGTCACATCCTGGAAGCGGAACTGGAGCCAGGTGGTGTGGAGCTTGGGCCCGGGGAGGTGATTTTCGTGTCATTTTTTTCTGTCAATTACACATTTTGTATTATAAACAGCCAAATATCTTTGCCTTTCAAGACGCTTTCTCAATGCTAACGCTGATTAGCATCTGTCTTCCAGCGCTATAACCCTTTAGGCCAAGAGTGCCCAATACGTCGATCACGATCGACCGGGAGGCAGCGGACTGGTCCCAAGTCGACCGCGACGGGTGGGAGGAGGAATTGCGAAAAAAAAAAAAGGATTTGTGTGTTTCGGTTTCGTTCATGCTGTGCATATGGTTGCACGTGCGCAATTGGGTCGATCGCGGGAGGTTGGTCGCTTCAAAAGTCGATCTTCGGTCAAAAAAGTTTTGCCACCGATGCTTTAGGCAATGGCTTGAATGTAAATGGCAAAGAAACCTATGCAGGTAGACAAGATAACAGTCAAATATTCTTTATCCTCTGCAAAGAACGATTAATATTAGTGCTGTGCAGGTTAGGTGAGCCGTCTCAATGAACAGTATTATCAGTCTTTTTTGTCTTATAGTGCCCTCGGATGGCCAAGGTGGGCACTCAATAGAAAGACCGGCACAACAGCCAGAACTGTTGTCACTCTTTTTAATTTTATAATATTTTCACGACCTCTGACATTGTGGAGTTTTTTTTTTCCTCGGGGCGGAGGATGGGATTTCCATTTATTCCAAGTGTAAATGTTTTCACTGCGACAGTATTCTAAAAGGAGTTTTGTTCGAACAAACGTACCTTCCTTCCTGTTTTAAAATGGAGCACTTTTCACTGACTGAGATTGTTGTCTTTCCCCAGGTGGAATTGGGCCCGGGGGGCAACGAACTGCTGGAGAGTGCTGCCCCAGAGGACAAAGAGAGAAGAGTTCTTGATAAGAGGAAATATCTGGCGCTGAATAGACGATGCAAAGAGATTGAACAGGTTGCGTATGTGTTTATTGTTTCTATTATTTTGTACCCCCCAAACTATGTCATAGTTTGTAGAGGAAGAAAATGCAAAATGAAAGAGATTCCTCCAAAGAATGACAACCGTTTTGGGGAGACTGCTTTCATTTGGATGGGCTCAAAATTGATGAATCTCATTTCTGATTATAAGCATAAGGCAAAGTGTATTGACCTACCATCCTCACCACTGTCCCATCCAGGTGAATCACAAGATCCTCGGTCGCCTTCACCAAGTCCAAAGACTTACGCGACGTCTGAAGAAAGAAAGGCGGTAGGAAATGGTTTTGCTTTCTTCTCATCTCATCTTAATTATGTTTCCGGCCCCTTTTTGTTCACACTACTATTGTTCTGTTACAGGTTCCTCATGAAGACCCTCGATGCTCATGGAGACGACTACAGGAATGCTCAGCTCACCATGCTGCTGGAGGTCAGCTGTGACACAATGAAAACCAAAAGGATTCTTATTCCTGTGTGTGTGTGGGTGTGTATGTGTGTGTTTTATTTTAATTACATTTCATTATGTTCAAAAACCAAATCTTATGACAAATATCTTTTTTAAACTTTCACTTATAATTGGTGTGTACAAGTAGAAAAAGTGTGTGTGTGTGTGTGTGTGTGTGTGTGTGTGTGTGTGTGTATATATATATATCTATATATATATATATATATATATATATATACACATACATACATTTATTTACATACATTCATTCAATTTCTTTGAGTATGAGCGTCTATGTTCAGAACAGCACATTTGACAATAAAATAAAAAAAATCCAATCCAAGTGTTGAATGGGCCAATGAAGAGGCAATTTCGATTTCACTTTTCACTCTTTCCGTCGCCCCTGATGAAAAATGTAGCTTTTCTTCTGTTTCTAAGATCTGATGTCCTTCTCCTTGAACCGCAGAATGCCACCTCAGTGCACGCGTCTTTTCATGTCATGATATCGCTCTGTTGCAGGATGAGCCCGGAGCACCTTCGGATGTAGCTCTTGGCGCTGCGGACGATCGGATCAACGGCGTGACGGGTTCCACCTCATCTCCCGCTTTTCACCATCCCTCTGGGCCCAAGAAGCGAAGACACGTTACGCCGAAGCAAGAGAAGGACAAAGATTTACAGGTAGGCTTTTGGCCCACACTTTCAGGGGATTTTACAGAATGCTTTCCGTAATGCCCTCGCATGCAGGGAAAGGAGAGCCACCGTTGCGTTCTACTTTTCGGCCGGGAGAAGAGTAAAACACAGACAATGAGCGCAGTCGCGAAGAATCTCCTGTCGGCCACACCTCTCATCGACACACTCACGCAGACTCGTCAACACAAGGCGCCTAGCTAGCTAGCCCCACCTCTTCAAGGCACATGCATGTCTCGAACACATACACACTACAAGATGTTTTGTACACATTGCTCCCTAGCTGCACTTCCCTCCAAAAGTATCGGAGTCCTGTAGTGAGGTCACACAAACATTGGGCATCGCCAATACAACAATTTGGAATCTCCTAAAAAAGCTGTTCCAATGCCTTTGGAGGAGGACTGCACTTCAGGTGGGCCTGGAATGTATCCCCCGATTGAAAGGGGATTCACTGTACATATTGATTTCATAGTTGGTTGATTTTATTGCTTTTTTTCTCCAGAATGAAGCAGATATGTCGGTGCTGTCGGACGCGCAGTTTGGAGAAATGCCCAGCCCGACCTCACTATCACACTGACAGAAATAAATGCGTGTACAGTAAGAGGCACACAGTTTGACCAGTTTCATCAGAAAATAAGTTAGTGAACAGGTGCTGTCTTGTCTCATTTGGATATTTTCCTCTTTGTATAATGACGTCCCATGATCGCACTTCTTTTTTTCCCCCCTCCCAAAAAACGTTTTGCAATACATTTGTGTGCATTGTTATTTGCCGATTTGATTAGTGGATCTGCTGTGAATATTTTGTAAAAAATGTTTAACAATGGTTTTGGTTGTCTTTTTTTGCGGGTTTTGAAATCTAGATTACACCCATTAAAAGCAGTAGAATGCTGTCATTCAGGAGTCGCTCACATCTTTGAAAATGGGAGCTCCTTTTTGGGTACGCATTAATACAAGGCCTACCAGTTTGAAACATACTTCTAAAATCTGCTCAAATGACCTTTAATTGTGTGTTATTAATAGCATTCATATATGTTAAGACACTGATCATGTGAATGATTTCTCACAATAATTGATTCAACCAGATAGGAAACGGATAAATATCGCTTTGCAACACCTATTTCATAATATATCTGCTCGTGTTGACATTTTCAAATGCTCCCTTTTAGACCATCCCTAGGAAATTACAATGTCTTATCATTAGTGAGCTATTTGAGAACAGACCTGCAGGCAGGCTATCCTCACGTGGTCCTGGGTGCTACGTGGTACCCCCAAATGGCACCATGTTGGTGACTCCTACTCATTGCATCAGAGACATTTGTGATAATGTACTTAGATGATTTGGCAAGTCGCAATTATCAAAATAAGAGAAGTAGTTACCATTTTAACGTTGAACAATTCTGCAGATTGCTGTAGGTTTACCTAATAAAGTGGGCGGTGTAACTGTTTTGTGTGAACAGTGCGTGTTTGGCGGTAATGGCACTGTTGTCGGTCGTTATTTTAGGAGAAAAATCATTGGGAATAAATTAATTCAATATTATGGGATAAATATACGCTTTTAGTTTGTGTCAGACATCAAACCCAGCATTAAAAGACTATTCTCCTTGTGTGTGTCTATGTGGGGTTGTAATTCATCGCACAACTGAACCGATGGCTGGCCATCGTCCCAGCGGAAATCCATCATTGACAGACATCGCACTCGTCCAATCAGAGGTCGTAGATAGGATTTAGGGCGGGTTTGGAATGGAGAGGTGGGATCTTTTAGCAACCGTCCATCTTCAGCTATATTCCAGTCAACGAGCTTGTCGAAAAGAAAACACAATTTGGAAGTGAAGAAGACCTTCTGGAATAAGTTGTGGCTGTTATTGACAAAAGAGAAACGAAAGCCCATATCATAGGTAAATGTCGAAGAAAGAAAAGTGCGACTCTTAATGGTCGACTCGAGCCAATTTCCCTTTTTTCTAAATATGGCTAGCTGAGCCGCTAGCTAGCATTTTATGCCTTAGCTAGCCAGAAAGACAAATTAGCTAGTAGGTTTGCGATTGGAACGCTTTCTGAACTATTTTGCGTTTCACCACGCACAAACGCTTTGCCAAAGCTATGCATTTGTTATTGCATGAATGCGATGTCCTCCCGCCGATATGCATCGTGCTACATGCTTAAAAGCGAGCTCGTAGGTGCTCGAGCGAGGGGGACGAGCTTTAGCAGCTGGCTAAGCAGTAGCGTTAGCCGAATAGCTGCCAGCCATATATGTCATAGTTTGGCTAGAGGCAATTCTGTTTCTGTGCATATAGACGAAACGACGGCATAGTTATGTTTTGAGGGTGAATTTGAATGTGCGCAGCGAATGAGCGCGGAGCGCTGTTAAACGTCAGTTCGAGTGTGGCGCGGCTATCGTGCAAGCTGGTTTGATGAATTGTGTTTTGTTTGATGCTGTGAGTATTATGTATGACCCCCCCCCATGCACACACACTTTGCTCACACAGCTAACTTTGTGACAGACGGAATGTGGACATCGTCGTAGTCAGAGCCATGGCTGACAAAAGAAAACTTCAAGGTAAACACTTGTTTGTGGGAGAGTGTCATCAGTTGTGCTGTTAGCGCGGAATCCCTCATGGTGTTGTATTCTCTCCCTGCCTCAATTGCGTGACAATGTTACGGATCGTAATGAATGGGGCAGCGAGGTCTCGCATGCATGTACAGTATTTAATTGTTCTTCCCCACACAGGTGAGATTGACAGATGCTTGAAAAAAGTAGCGGAAGGCGTGGAACAGTTTGAGGACATTTGGCAGAAGGTGAGAACGTTTGTCTTGTGTGTTTCCCCTGTCTCTGTTGAAAAAGAACGCACTGGTTTACCAGGAATGCACCCCGTCTGTTGTAGCTTCACAATGCAGCTAATGCAAACCAGAAGGAAAAATACGAAGCCGACCTCAAGAAAGAGATTAAAAAATTACAGGTATGACACATTCCCTGATTTTTTTATTTATTTATTTTTTCATTTTTTCAGTCATGTGCCTGCATAAAATTGTCTCACAAGCTGGATTTACATTGCAGGGTCCAGTGCTAAATACTTTTGCTGAGAATTTCGAGTGGCACAATCTGGAGCGGTTTGCAGAACTCATGTAACAATGCTAAAATTGCACTCAACAAGTGTCGACACTGGGCAGCAGCAATAACACAAAAGTAAACCATCAGATATACATAAAACATACTGAGTTGGCTTGTGCTCCACTGGCTGCTGTGGACAATGGACTCTTAAGCTCGCTACAACTTTTAACACATCATCAAATATTTTTGATTGATGGACAGCAGCTATAATACAAGCCTCTTGTACTTTTGGGGGAATACTGAAATAAAGTGATTCCATTGTGATGTGAAGGTTCAGAAATGGGTGCACGGTGATCAATGTGCAAAATGGTGACGACCCAATTGATCAAATGTGATAATGGCATTTCCCTCCCAGGGCGGAAATGAAAAAGATTTCCTCAGTCTCTCAGTGGAGTAGGGCAGTGACACTTACTCATTCTTTTTTTTTTTGTTTTGTTTTTTTAATATTTTTTTTTATTTGACGATTGACTTAGCTCCAATGTGTGGTTTAGATTTATAGTAGGGTTGCTTTAGGTTGGGGCTGTATGTTTATGCCGTTTGAGCAGATGTGGGTGTTGATGTCAAGGTGGCCTGAGCAGTGTGAATCGCATTGATGCTGAGCTCGAATCGGCACGAAACCAAGACGCATCCGATTTGCAGGCTATCCAATCGATTGCATTTTTGAAAATGATCACGTTCACTGCCGTAATGCATTTTCCAGTTGTGCTGCCGGACAGCAAAAAAAAAAAACTCAAAACACGCCAATCGTGTCGCTTGTAAATTCAGCCCAAATGATTGCTGGTTCTCCTTGCAGCGACTGAGAGATCAGATAAAAACATGGGTGGCCTCCAACGAGATCAAGGACAAGCGGCAGCTCGTGGAGAACCGCAAGCTCATCGAGACGGTACGCCGCCCTTTTGACATGCGTGTGTTCTCCTTGCTCATGTTGGCATAATGAAGGGCTTCCATTGTCACCGTTAGCAAATGGAGCGGTTCAAAGTGGTGGAGCGGGAAACAAAAACCAAGGCCTACTCCAAAGAAGGCTTGGGACTCGCTCAGAAAGTGGATCCGGCTCAGAGGGAAAAGGAGGAGACGGGGCAATGGCTAACAGTAATGCAACATCCCGACTTGATTTTGCACAAGTTTTCCTCCAACCAAGGCTGCGACGTCCTCATTTCTTCTCTTACCCTCTCTTGCAGAATACGATAGACACTCTAAACATGCAGGTCGATCAGTTTGAAAGCGAGGTGGAGTCTCTTTCGGTTCAAACGCGAAAGAAGAAAGGTGACAAAGAGGTAAATCCACTTTGATTGGTTCCCTCCAACCAAGTTGAAGTCGCTCGTCTCAGACGGCTCCTTTCCCCTACGCCTCGTCCCGTCGTGCAGAAGCAAGATCGAATCGACGAGCTCAAGCGCTTGATCGAGAGGCACCGGTTCCACATTCGCATGTTGGAGACCATTTTACGGATGCTGGACAACGACTCTGTGCCGGTGGACGCCATTCAGAAGATCAAAGATGACGTGGAGTATTACATTGATTCTTCGCAAGACCCTGACTTTGAAGAGAACGAATTCCTGTACGATGACTTGGACCTCGAAGACATCCGTGAGTTGCGATTTGTGTTTTGGGACACCCAAACATCCCGAGGCGTTATTGATGATGATGTTTTTTTTTTCCATTCCCCCTTCCCCTCCCATCACTCACAATGTTGTCTGATTTCTCAAAGCTGCAGCATTAGTGGCCACGTCTCCATCGGGTCAGGGCAACATGGAAGATGAGATGTACCTCCACTCGAGCAGCACCCCCACTTCCACCACCTCGTCGTCACCCATCCCTCCGTCGCCGGCCACTTGCGCCGCGGTGAGTTTCTCTGCTTTTGCCTCCTGCCATCGAAACTTCAGCCAGCACCCGGTTCAACGTGCACAAAAGATACGCGTATGCGGTGAAATTTCAGGATGAAACTAAAATGCCTTTGTGAGCTTAATTTGACACTTTTTGAAAGCAAAACATTTGAGAAGGTCAAATTAAGTGGACCGTAAAAGGTTCTGTACCTTTTAGGATCTTCCAGAAATTTCAACCGGAGGCTGAACATTGCAGCTTTTTGTGAGTGGTGTCTAATCGTGTATTTCCTCAAGTCGTGGCCTCCGCTCAATTCAATTCTCCATAAACGGACAAACAGTTGCGGCACCTCTGATGTCAGGAAACAAGAATAACATCTTCAGCGGACCTCAATTTGACAGTAAAAGACATTTATAGGACAGTCATTTTTTTTTCCCTCATACGGTCCTGGCATATGCGTAAATATTTAAATGACCCAACATTTTCACCCCCTAGCAGATGCCCGGAGGTCAAATAACGCCCCCAGCCACTAAATGAGGAAATCCTTTGGTTTGAGTGCTGTACATTCCCTCTTTTGAGGTCTGACCCCCCCCCCCCAACCATGCTAACCTACCTGCAAGCCCCCATTGTGTTCTAATCCACTGGCTTGTGTGCTGACTCA